TCCATTTCTAAGAAGCAGCAGGTTGGTTTCTTTTGTTGTGGTTTTAAATCTGTTTTCACTGGCACAGGGGGCCTTTCATCATGGAATGTGCTGGAAAGATGGTCTGTAGATGAGCTAGATGGTAGGCTGTGGTGCAGTGCTCTCTGCTCCCACGTTTTGGACATTGGAAACCTATAATGGCCAGTCTTCGCAAGCGAAGATATTGGGAAAGGTCATTAACCCTTCCAGCCTGCGCAGTGGATTTTTAGGTGAGACACAGCGTGCGCTGAACTGAGCCCACCCTTTAGTCCTGAGGTTCATCTGCCGGGGCCGAGCAAAGCTTGGACAGTGGCAGTGAGGTCCCCAGGATGTAGGTTTGTTTAGAGTGACCTTCTCTTAGGTGGATTGCCTACCAAGGCTGACGAGCTCCACCTGCCCAGGGGGCTGGGAATCGAACCCGGGTCGCAGAGGTGAGAGTCAGGCACTCTACTGCTATGTGGAATCACTTGGTCTTGTGAGGCAGCAAGAACAAACCAGTCCCTGATAACTGGATCATTTCCCAGTGCTTGTCCAAGTGTGCCTGCCACAGCAGATGAAGCACTTATATTGCAAAATATCTTTTGAGAGCTTGGGTTATTAATATCTATACTTAGTAATCAGAATCAAGGACTCAATTAAAAGCAGTCTTGTTTTTTCATTCACTTTTTTCCCTTTTTTTTTTCCTTTTTTTTTCTTTTCCTTTTTTTTTTTTTATCAGGCACTGGTGTTTGAAAAGTGCACAGCCTTCGAAAGATAAAGGTCCTCAACAGACCTGTTTTGCTTTGCAGATCCACTGCTGGGAGTCTGCACTGCTTACTAACATAAAAGTAGCTGCAGGCACTGTGACAACCCACCCTTAAGGCAAAGGGAACACCTAAAACTCACATAACCACCTGTGAATTTATCATCACATTTTTTAAAATTATTGCATGTTTTTCAAAGTTCAGTAGTAAGTCTTCCTGCATAGCTTTAAAACTGAAAGGAAATAGAAGCACTTAACCAGGGCTTTAATTAGAGATAACTTTTACCTCTCACTGCCCATTGGGACCTTTTCCTGTTTCCACAGCCCGTGTCTATGAAATGAGCTCCTCAAAATACACAGGGGAAGTTTAGGATAAAAATGATGCTTGACAGCAGGAGTTGGGATCCAGCAGACACTGACAGATGACTAACTTTGCTGTGGAGACTCTAAGAAATAGATGTCATCGGACAAATTGAAGGAAGAGATAATTACTTTTTTTTCTCTTAAAAAGATAACAATACTTGCTGGTACTAATTTATCCTTTTAGCTCTTGTCTTTTACTGACTCAGATAAAATTATTCATAACCTTATTGTTTTTAACATATCATGAGAGAGCAGAAAATTATTTTCTTAATTAGCACAGTTGATAATGTTATCACTTCAGCTGTATTAAGTCCTTCAAAACGAGCTCTACTAACTTTCTATGAGGTGATGCTGGGATCATGGATATCTTTTGTTCCATTCTGCCGTTTATCACTTGGTAAATTAGTGTTCTCCTACAAATAATTACAACACTTGTACGTGGTCCATGATTTCTTGTGCTCTCTTTTCAAACACATGAAAGCATTGCTGCCACTGTAACTTTCACAGATTTCTGCAGCATCTGATAATAGTCCAGTTTCTGTGATTCCTATGAAACATAGAAGGCTTTTTCTAATACTAAATACCTTTATGTTTTTCAGATTTTTTTTAAATTTTTTTTTAATGGTTGGTATTAATATTTCCTTCATTAGTTACGAAAACGCTTTCCCGACTTCGTACCACTTTGACTGTGCTATATAAACTAAATATACCTATTTTTAGCTGCCTAACATAAGTATAGTGATTGTTTTCTTACTAATTTAGTTGAAGGACTTCAGATTTAGCCGGTATGTGCCCATGTTTATCTAAGCCCCGTGGAAGAAGGCGTAATTGGAATCTGGGTTAGTCCACCTCCTATTTGTAGCTTCCCCATATGTTTTAGGAGTTCACAGGAGCTTGCAAGAAATGAGGGTTGGTACAAGCAGGGATCACTGGCATTCCTATTAAAATAACATTTTATAGTCCCTGTCACTGACTATTAACTTTTAGGAGCTGTGGATCAGAACATTTATGACTTTTATCAGGCATTTAATACTGTGGTACCTTAAAAAGCACATGTATTAATAAAACCAACAGAGTTAGCAGTTCCGATGTTGGTTCTTGAAATAATTTGTCTGGGAAAATGGACATCCCCTACAATTGCTAGGATTTGCCTATTATTATAAAAGTTATCTCTCTCCATAGGTTTTTACCCAACATTTAGATACTAGATGCTGATTAGGATTACAGCTTTTCTTGACCTGGAATTATGAGAGAACTAATTATTCTGCCTTGTTAATTACATCTTTTTCTGTTTTATGTGCTCTAAAAGTGAGATCTGATTCTTGCATAGAGCTTCATTTTGGGGGACACAGTCAATTCCTGTCTAATCAGGATGATAAACATTTTTTAAAGCCATAATCTAGTATTAATCCCCTGCATTACATGTCATCATTAATTTTTTGTGTAAATCAAGTAGAGTTGGGTTTTATCTCCTTATATCTGAAATTTATTATTAATAATCAGTCATTATTACAATAATGAGGAGAGTTTTTGTTTCTTCTTGGAAATTTGACATTAATTTCCCTTTATTTTTGTTGAAAATTTTCAAGAAATAATGTACTCTCTCTGCTTAAAGCCACAATAAGGTGCTTCTTTTTCAGCAACCAGATAGGAGTACTCTGTTACAACATTAACATTTAAAAGCAGGTAAAAAACTTAGATTGTCCGGAGCAGCAAAATCTTCCACGAGTAGTTGGATCAGAGAGGGCTCCCTCCTGTCCCAGGGCTGTGATTTGTTTGGGAAACCTGCACCTTTTCTTTAATGCCAATTAAAAAACCCAGTGGCAGGACTTCTGTTTGAGCTTAACATATACAGGAATTGAAATTTCCTTTTTAAAGCTACTTTTTTGTGTGCTTGTAAGTTGGACACGACTGTCCTTGTCAGCCACCTGATACTGACTGGAGTGGGAGATTCTAGTGTGGCTCAAAAGAAGAACATGCCTTTAAACACTTTGGTATTTGTATCAAACCCAAATTGTCCTGACAGGTCCCAGATGTGCTTTTCCACTTGCATCACTTCAGACACCCAAATGCTGCAGCCACAGAAGAGTTGTGGCATCCTGCAAGCTGGGGGATAGAAAAGCATCAGGATTCTTTTAAAGACCGGGTGGAATCTGGATCAAGGCCTGTGGCTATGATAGGGTGGAGAGGATGATCGTTCTGACTATTTTGTTTCCCAGATTCATGATTTAGTCCATCCTTTTGTACTAGATGGTCTCCTTAGACCATCTTTTTTTCAGAGCTAGAGGGACAGCAGGGCTGTGAGTGCTTTAGGTGTACCAGGCCACACAGGTCTGTTATTGTGAAGACTGTCTGCCTTCAAAATGCGGGAGAGACAGCAAATGGGTAAAATAAGGCAATACTTTTTTCCTTCTCACCAAGCGCTGGCAAGAAGAACTGAGGGGTCTAAATACCCTAAAAAGCTCCTGACTTTTTTTTTCAAGCATGGTAGAAAGGTTTTTGCCTTATGCAAGGGTTCCTCACTTTACTTTTCAGTTGTCCTGGAGGGATATTCCTCAGAGGTGTCTGCCACATTCTAGTTCTCCCATGTCTGGGTTCACTTTATTTCCATTAGTATATTTGACCTCAATGGTCAATTTCCACATGAAAGGAAATGGAAAGAGAACTCAACAAGCCTTCCTACATGAGTCCATTATTTAATAATTCTACTGCTTCTTCATGACTGTAGCAGCCAATTGCTGTTTATAACCATAGCCAGGAAAAGCTATTTGCATGGGAACCCAACACCTAAATAACTCTAAGGAGAATTTATAGATATGAATTTTCACTTATCTTTAAAATTTTTAGAGTTGCCATCTGTAGACATAGTGTCCCTCAGGATACGAAGAAATTGCTGGGACTGTCTTACTGGTAATTACCAGTCTCTTGGCATTAAGAGAACGGTGTGTATAGATAAAGACAAGTAGTACAGTATACATTAAACACATTGAGCAATGAAGATAATCAAACACAAAAGATTGCCTTGCTTATTTTTTCTGGATTCTCAGTCTTGGGGCAGTCTTAGACCAAGCTGGAAACAGGAAGATCCTTAAGATATTCAGGGAAGGCACTTCCAAAGACCTGGCTTGAAAGCCATGATACAATGGTACCTGCTCAGATGGGTTACTGTGGGGACTGCCACAAACTCACAGAATACGCTGAGTTGGAGGGGACCCATCAGGATCATCGAATCCAACACCTGGTCCTGCACAGGACCAAGAGTCACATCATGTGCCTGAGAGTGTTGTCCAAACACTACTCGAACTCCATCAGGCTTGGTGCTGTGACGACTTCCCTAGGGAACCTGTTCCAGTGCCCAAACTTCCCCTGGGTGACAAACTTTTTCCTAATATCCAACCTAACCCTCCCCTGACACAGCTTTGGGCCATTTCCTTGGGTCCTGTCAGTAGTCCCCACAGAGCAGAGATCAGTGCCTGCCCCTCCTCCTCCCCTCACAAGGAAGTTGTAACTGCAATGAGGTTTCCCCTCAGTCTCCTCTTCTCCAGGCTGAACAGACCAAGTGACCTCAGCTGCTGCTCATATGGTTTACCCTCCAGACCCTTCACCATCCTTGTGGCCCTCCTTTGGACATTCTTTAATACCTTAATGTCTTTTTTATACTGTGGTGCCATGTGAATAACAATGTTCTTGGATAAAGTCATGAAATAGATCATGGCAGGATGCTTTACGCAATTTTGAATTGGATCCTGCCATGCCCTGGCAAGTGGCAGAGCAGAAATGAGGATGGGAAGATGCATCTTGTGTATGAACAAAAATATCTTTGTGTTTTCCAGCAGCAGATGTGATCTATTGCAAACTCTGTTCTTTTGTTTTTCAGACACTTAACTGGATATGAGTGGGATGGCATCAGATCACAACACTTCCTCCCAGGAAGAATACGTCCCACATTATCTCCAGAAGGGAGATCCCTTTGCGTCAAAGCTTTCTAGAGAAGCTGACATCATAGCTGGCTTTTATTTGACAGTAATTGGTAATGATTTTATAACTGGTCTTTGAGATATGACTGCCTGCTTGTAGCTCTCACAAAAGAAGCAGAAGCTGTTGTGCATTGATGTGTAATCACATATTTCTTCATACTAGAAAGAAAAATCTAGGATGTAGAGGAGAAAATGCATTAGAAATATGGTGTCAACAGTTAGTGTCAACAGACAATGCTGCTCCAGATAGCCACAAGTGACTGGCAGTGGACCTTCCAGCAAAAAGTGAATAAATGGTATTTTTTTTCCTACTGATAAGTTACTACCTTATGGTTTAATTGTCTCTGAGCAGAAATGAATTTTTCCCACTGTGCCATGTGGCCCGTTTTCAAAGCCTCTCTCACGTGCCTGTGCAGCAGAGAATATCCTGAGATGTGCTCGTTTGAACCTTGCTCAGCTCCTGGCATCATCTGTCCTCTTTTACACATTATACTGAACAATATTTTCTGCCTAGCACCCTCCCCGTCCTTCTGTGTTGCAGTCCTTCACCATGTTCAAAGTGACTTTGCAAGCATAATAAATACAATTACGTACTGGTTAGTGCACACAGATGATAGCTGGGACTGATTTCTGCATTAAGTATTCATATGCCAAGGAGTCATCATTCAGCAGGAAAAATTCTGGTCTCCATTACTTCTAAGGATAAACTGGTCCTTCTTATTGATAATTTACCTTCTGTGCTTTATGGAGAGGGCTGGAATTACATCTTTTTGTGTCAGTACTTGTCTCAGCTCCCAAGGGAATGGCATGAGGCTGTGTCAGGGGAGGTTTAGGTTGGATATTAGGAAAAGGTTCTTCACCCAGAGGGTGATTGGGTACTGAAGCAGGCTCCCCAGGGCAGTGGTCACAGCACCAAGCCTGACAGAGTTCAAGAAGTGTTTGGACAATGCTCTCAGGCACATGGGATTGTTGGAGTGTCCTGTGTAGGGCCAGGAGTCGGAGTTCGTTGATCCATGTGATCTGTTCTATTCTATTCTATTCTATTCTATTCTATTCTATTCTATTCTATTCTATTCTATTCTATTCTATTCTATATTCTATTCTATTCTGTATTCTAGAATATTCTATTCTATTCTTCTTTATATATTTAGGTTTTGTTATGTTTTATGGCTTTGGTTCATGCAGTTTCTCACAGCGATTTTCTCCTAAAGCTGAGCTAAGGACATGTAAATAACTACACCAAACTGAGCTCAGTTCAGACAGCTGAACACCAGTCGGAATACAGGGTGTACCGTACTCCTTGACATTTATTTCAGTATTGATTCAACCAGAACTTGTTCAACCAGTTCTGCACAAAATACAAGGATCGATCTGTCATTCCTACATTTATATTTCTCATTCACTACTTTACATCCTTCCCTCCTACTCTCACATACTGCCTTTCCTCCCACTGATCTAAGTAATCTAATATCTTTTCTGTAATAAAGGTATCAGAGTTATTTTTATCATTTATCTTCTACTTATGCCTTCTACTAATTTATCATTTTTTTCCTGCTTATGTCTTTATTGAAAAAAGAATTCAGAGCAGCAGAGGTGGCAGGTGAAGCTGTCTCTCAGTGCTGGTTTTGGTATTCATGCGCTGTTTTCTATGTATCCTCACTTTTCACATATATGTTTTTTCCTGCTGCTCTGCAGAGAGATGTCTTCACTGAACTGTCCAAAACAACCCCCACTTCGGGTCTTTATTCACTCTGTTAAGCAAATTTAACTTTAATCCCAGGAAATGTATTTGAGTAGCTGCAATGAATCTTTCTAATATACACTGTGTTGCCTTGTTATGTTTGCTGTATTTAGGGTAGATTTATCCTGTTAAAAAAAACCAAACCCCATCAGGTATGAAACATATTGAAAAACTCAGGTGTAATCAAATTAAGGCAAGGAACAGGAAATAAAAGTTTCCAGTGAAAAGCCAAAAGCCAATCATAAAGGCAAAGACTTCCGTGAGCAGTGTGAGGAGTCTGGAATTATAATTCAAAAAGGTCTGATAATCATTTTGATATTGGATTTATCAATAAGATTCCCACCTTCCTGATGTTGTGGACTGGACATCAGACAGCCTGTGGTGGACTCATTGCATCCAGTGGCCCAAGTCAGGGAAGTTAAAGACACAGTTCTGCTGTGTGTGTGGCTCTATACACCATATCCCACACTTAGATCCAGATTTAACTTATTTTTCATGTGCTTGTTTTGCATTGCATTTTACTTGGTTAGTTACTTTACCCTTATGGCCATTACACACTCCAGTAGCAGCTTTCATTGGAGGGAATTATGGTCTTCACATATGCATGTAAATGCTGCATTTGCATCTTCCTTGGACTTGGATCTGTAGAATAAGACACCACCGGTACCTGGCACAGATATTTTTAATTCCTTTTAGCAATCATTGCACTGTTTTTAAGCACCAAGCTGCTGCTCAGTTGTGATGTCAACCATTTCAGCAACTAGACCATTTCCAGACCAGCACAGCAATGTTTTAGACATTGTATATCATACAGTAATGCACATGAAGTGGTCAAAGGCCAAGAGAAGTGCAGAACCCTCCACTCCCCCTCCTCCCTTCCCACCCTTTCATAGGGATTTGTGTGAAGGAGAGTGTGATAGTTTTTACCAGTAAAGCACAATTTCACCTTATGGCTCATCCACTAAGAGTGGAAATTAAACAAAACTGGTGGAAGGACCAATGCCAGGTCTTCTGTGTTTGTGAATAGATGGGGCAAAGTAGCCTTTAAGCACATTTTTCTTAAAAAAAAAATAATAAAGCTTGGCTTGGATTGATTCTTCTCATGTGAGCTGTAGCTCACAAGGTTGATTTAGTGTAGTGCCTTGGGGATGCCACCATTAGCACCTCCTGCTGTGCAGATCCAGATTTTAGTACCCACTCATGTTTAGGTGGATAGCAACATCTTAGTAATATCTTGGACTTGAGAACTTAGAAGGAAATTCATCGTCATTGTTCCCAGGTAAATCCCTGAGTAGCTTTTTTTACTTACTGCAAAAAAACCAAAACGACAAACAACTCAAATTTCCTTTTCCATTTAGCTGATTTCTGGCAATTCAAAGCATCCACATCTATGTTGGGACATAAAGCACTGCTCTGTAAAGTTTTTGGGTGGCAGATAGTGGAGAAGGAAGCTTACCTCTATGAAGCTATTCACTGACATCAAATTGCACACTGCAAGATTGCTAAGGCTGCAAATTTGCTTTAATTGGCAGCTTTACAGTTAATCACAGCTCCCAAGTGTCCAAAACAGTAAGCAAAACCTCTGTGCTCTAATAGCTCTTGTGCATAGCTGTGCCTTGGGGTAACTTTGCAGTATTGCAGATTTTACTTTATAAATTGTGTGTGTAATCTACAGAAGATAGAAAACCAAGCTGGAGCATTCAGTTCCTGTAACCAATGAGGGTATGGAGAAAAGGAGGCTCAGGGGAGAGCTTATCACTCTCCACGATGACCTGAAAGGATGTTGTAGTCAGGTAGGGGTTGGTCTCTTCCCCCAACAAGTGATAGGACAAGAGGAAATGGATTCAAATTGCACCAGGGGAGGTTTCGATTAGATATTAGGAAATATTTCTTTGCTGAAAAAGTGGTTCAGCAGGTGGAATAGGCTGCCCAGCGAAATGGTGGAATCATCAACCCTGGAAGTGTTTAGAAAACAAGTAGACATTGGACTTGATGATCTTGGAGGTCTTTTCCAATCTAAATGATCCTATAATTATGTGTCTGTGTTTTTTGTTATAACTTGTGATTCAGACTGAACTTGTCACCTTCAGTTCAGTTCAGTGGCAGCACTGAACTGTGTTCCCTACTCCTTTGCAGATCCCTTCCAAGAAAATTGTGGCCCCTCTTGAGGATGGCCTGTGTGGACATCCTGATAGCAGTGAGAGAGAAGCCAGGAGGTGGGAAGCCAGGACTGCTATTGCACATCTTTTTGCCCTTGAGGTGTGTAAGGTGCAAATGAGTTTAAAATTTCTTTCAAAAAGGGGAAGAAGCTGCGCTGTGACTGAACAAGGCTGCGATGCTATCAGGCAACTTGGCAGAGCTTTAAGGTCAGACTGGTTCTACAGCTGAAGTATTGCAATTTGAAATAGAAGAAGTACTATTTTTTTGTCTTTGAAGAAAATCAGGGGTCTTGACCAATCTGTGCTAAATTCTTTGTGAGCACATGATCCTTTTTCCTGATTAGTTCATTTCCATGTGTAGTTTTTTTAATTGTCTAGTAAAAAAAATAAATCAAACTATGCATGTGGTTTTGAGAATCCAATTCTTTTCACTTTGTCACTTCCCCCACCAGCTTTTTCATCACTGGCTTGATTGATTCTCTGTATGGCCAGGCAGGGTGACAAACTACTGAGTGGAGGCCTGCTGGCTGCCAGCTCCTCTGAAACCCTGTGGCAACTAACTATTGATTTGCAAACTGTTGCTGCATGCTTCCTCAGCATGTTATGAAACAGCTTAATTGAAAACAAAATCCTGAACTATCATTTTTGTTTTTTTTTTTTTTCATTTTCTCTGGTGGTTTAGTACTGCTGTCAGTTGGAGAAACGGAAACTTATTTCTTTAGTTTACTACTTTTAAACACTTTCCCCTCTTGCTGCAGGTTGTGTATCTCAGCCTGGCTCTTTCTCTGCAGGTGCCACTTTTTTAGTTATCACATCCTTGGCTCTTTGTATATATGTAATAGTGCTGCAGTGCCATGGACTGTTTGCCCTGAACTGTTCACTCCTGGAAAAGAGCCTTTATTTTATAACTGAAGAGTCTTTTTCCCCTGTTTCCAAACTACCAGACCTGGAGATTGCACCAGCAAGGTCTCCAGCTAACTGCTAGGAAAATCATTTAATAGAAGGGGAAGTAGAGCATTAGATGCTCCTCTAAGGAGATTATAAAGTTTTGATCACTGAGGAGTTAAAAAAGAATTCAGATAAGCAATTGTCAATGAAAGTATAGACATAAATTAGTCACTGGACCCCTTCCAGATGCAGGATTAGGAGGTCAGTGGGCTTGGGCTCTCTGGAACTTTGGTATTAATAATTAGCAGTTGCTTTAGAGGCTTGCCTCATGGAGATGTCTCTCTAGACTGCCAGTCAGTTGAAAAAGATTCAGGAAAATGTCAAGTGCTTTCAAAAAGTATTTCAAATTGGATGCTGACACTCTAGTTATCTAAAATATCACTGGAGAGAAAAATGGCACTAAGAGAGAAAAGGATTAAAATACATAAAAAATTCTCACGACATTGAGATTCATTGACTTAGCTGCAAGGAAGAAAAAATTCCTATGAATACCTCTTTCTGCTTATAATTCAGATTAAATTTGTAGAGCCATAAGAGTAGATTGTTCTTTAAATTTAATTCACCAAGGGTAAATCAAATTTACTGCGAAAACTTAAGATCAATAGTAAGCCAGCTTCTGTCCTGTCTGTTTTTTTTAAAATAATCTAGAAAACAATACTGTCAATATAAAAATAAAAAGAGGGTCCAATTAGTGCTGCATTTAATACCAAAAAATTAAAAATCAAAGTATTTTTGTCCTGAGTTTGGTAAACTCTTGGCTCTATGGTTATATGTCTTGGTTATATGTCTTGGTAAGCAGTCTGATTTTAGCCTCTGAGAACCATTTTTCTCTCTGCCTCATGGATGTTCCCAGGTTGGGCTTCTCAATTTTTTGAGGACATGACACCCTTGCAAGGGGATTGTTCCATTGATGGGCCACGGTAAATAATTAAATACCCATTTAAATACTGGCCTATTAATTACTGAATTACCCAATTAATTACTAAATAATTAAATTACTGAGCTTCAATTCCGGAGGTCTGGCCTGACAGAAGATTCTGATGAAAATTATGTGGTATTCAAAGGTGCAGTATTTGGAGAGGTCAGAGTTGCTGGGAGGCTTGGAGGGCTGCTGGGGTCTTTTAGAAACATAGAATACAGCTGAGTTTGCCCCAGCAGAGCCATGTGTACGAAGACATCACAAAAGGTGACTTTGCTGCCTCAACAGAGGAAAGCTGGCGTATTTATGACTTCTTTGAAGTAGTGTGGTGAGTGGGCCTCAGCTGGTAGCCAAGCACCCAGAATGACCCTCGCAGTGGGACAGGGAGGAAATAGGCAGAGAAAAAACAGTAGAGATGAAGACAGGGTGGAGGTAAAGACAGGGAGATCCATCCCCAGTTACTGAAGTGGCAAACAGACTCATTGAGGGGAAATTAATTTAGAATCATAGACTTAAAGAATGGTTTGGGTTGGAAGGGGCTTTAAAGATCATCCAATTCCAATCCCCAAACTTCCAACCCCCAAAACTTAACATTTAATTATTGTTTACGTAGGGAGAAACAAAGATGAGAAACATAAGGTACTTAAGGAGAACATCTTTTCTCGCGCTTCTCTGAGCTGAACTCCTGACCAAAATCTTCCTCGTTGCCATTGTAGGTCCCTTTGGTGAGACAATGTCAGGGCAGGAGGTTGGGGTTTCTGACATTCTTTGCTCTTCAGTCTTTTCTTCTGTGTTTCCCTCCTTCTTGTTTGTCTCCTCTGCTCTGGTGTGAGGCTCTATGGGCAAAGGTCCCTTTGGGTTTTCCACCTTTGGGTGTGATTCTTGCTTCATGAAAGGGATGTTGTGTGTGCTGTCCTGTGTTTCCTCAGCAAAACCCTCATGCTGAGCTTAAACTCAAACCTGAGTTAGTGAAGAAACATTTTTCTTTATGGGAAATGGAAACCCTACAGTTTTTGGTACCGGTGTGATTAATTCCGTGGGTGATCAACCACTTGCAGTGTGGTTCTCTGTGGTTGCTTAGGTGGTAATATGGAAAAAAAGATGTCAGCCAACAAGAAATGGGTCTCTGCTCATGCACTGAATTCCACCTGGAAGTTAAAATCAGATTAATCAGATTAATTTTATTATTTTTCTTTTTGATTATAGAAATTAATTTTATTGTAAAATTTAAGATTTCATATTAATATCTTAATTTACTCAGGTGGTGAAGGCAATGCTCTGCTGCAGAGGGGAAAATAGTATTTGCTGAGCGAGGGAGGTGTCTGTAGTTGATGCCTCTATGAGCTGCATAATGACAATGAGATGACCATGTTTCAGAGTAAAATGTCCAGCCTTAGGACCACAGATTTAGGCTGAAAATATCAGGGAATTTCACAAGGGAGATGGGGTATTGCTGTTTTTGAGGAGGCTTCTAATTTGGTTGTTATTCTGTTTTTCATTATTACAGGGATCCTTTCAACCTTGGGAAATGGGTATGTTATTTTTATGTCCTCAAAGCGAAAAAAGAAGTTGAGACCTGCTGAGATAATGACTGTTAATTTAGCAGTGTGTGATCTGGGCATTTCAGGTAATTTCATGTCTTTGTTTTCACTCATTTTTACTATCCCACCATTCTTTCTGGCAGCAGCAAGAGGCATTCCTCCGAAAGTCAAGGAAGCCCCAAAGGCCTTCTGCTACTGATATTTCTGCTCTCTTATTTGCATATAAATAGCATGGAAGGATGGAAAACAACATTCCTGAACAACTTGATGGGAAGAAATTAACAGTACAGAGGAAAAAATAGGGTTGATTTTATCAATCAGGCAAAACACCTGTTCATCCCAGCACTGGGCAACGTCTCCAAAAAGTTTCCATGTGCACCCTGGCACAATAACCACAAAATAGCTCAGTATTACAGGCGCAGAAAACTATGTTTTCTTGCTGTAGGATGCAATAGAAGGGATCCAAGTGCCTCAAAAATACATGTTTGGCCAAATAATTGGAAAAAGCCAGTAGTCACCAGCCTACCAAAGCTAATAGTTTTCTCTCTAGTTACCACCCTCCTTTATGCCTGGATCAGAAAAATAAGCATTTGTGTCAATCTGTAGAGTAAGAGCAACAGCAGCCAACTGGGAGGATTTTTATTTAAACCCCACAGTCTGGATGTCCTGGCACGGAAGGAGAGAGCTTTGGAAAAGTTTATACAGAGTTGCAGAGTCAAGAGCCTCTGGAGATTGTTGTTTTGGCTCTTGACATAAGTCTCTCACTCAGCTGCTCATGGTTACGTGCAGATGCAGGAGAAGAGCAGGATGTCCTTTAGAAAAGGATATTTTGGATGGCAGGCACTCCAATACATATAAAGACCCATCTGATCATGGGATCTCCCCCATGCAATATAAATGGCAATATATTCCCATGCTCCCAAAGTCATCTGTCCCCTGTGTGTTGTATACACTGGGAGCCCTGCCCTCAGCTGCAGTGCACTGTTTTCCTGCCCTCATCTCTGCCAAATGCTTCTGCTCTCATGCAAATGCCCAAAATAGCACTGAACAATATGAAATGGTGGCTCCCAGTCTCCCCTGACTGATGCCTGTTATGCTCTCATGGCACAAGGCTAAGGATTTGCTCACCCCTGCAAATTCCAGGGGTTTGGATCAGTAAACATGGATTTCTGAAGGAAATACAAATTCAGTAGAAGAAAGATGTTAGTACAAATATCATTGCTACCACACAGAAAAATCCCAAGATTTCTTTGGCATTTCTGCCGTGGAGTCACTATTTCCATCTTTCAACATTTAGAAGTTAAGGAGAAAAAAACAAAATGGTTTTTTACTCTTCTGTGACACTCCCATTTCCTTTGTGTCTTTAAGAGTCTGTCTTACATTATAAATCTCATGTTTGACTCTTATGATAGTTACTCCAATGATAGGGAGTTCTTCAGGGAAATTTCCCTAGATATATATTTTGAATGTTGCCCAGAGAAGCTGTGGATACTCCATCCCTGAAGTATTCAAGGATGGGTTGGATGGGGCTCTGAGCAGCCTGGTCTAGTGGGAGGTAACCCTATCCATGACAGGGGGATTGGAACTATTTGATCTTTAAGAACTCTTGCAAGACAAACCATTCTATAATTTGGTGAGTTTAATAGGTATCTCCTAACCACACAAACTGTAGGTCTCAACCATGCAAATTACAGCTAGTTTGGGAGCCTTCTTAGCATGAGGGCTGACAGCTTCTCTCTTAAGGTGTGTCAACACCATACTACCTGGTCACCTTGCTTTCTTCCATGGGGAATCTCAATCTGTCTGTGTGTTTAAATTTTGGAATTAAAAATAATTGTGATTGGCACAGCCATGTGGCTTTTTCTTCCTTCTCTAATGTTTTTTTGCTAACTGATGATGTTCACCTGAGAAATGTGATGTATTCAATCTGCTGGACTGATTGGAATGAAGATGGGATTTTTTCCCCCAGGATCTTCACATTTCACACGCTTATCTTGGCACCTTGTTCAAGAAACGACTTCTGCCATGGCCCTGTTTCCTGCAGATTTCCACAGGGTGGCACCAGCCCCTCGTTCAAAGCTGCATCGGGCTCTTTTTGCACTGACACCGTGCTCTGAGCTGCTCCGAGTCCTGCTGCTGAAGAGAAATTTGATTTTGTGCAAATAAATGTGTTGGCCTTTAAAGCTGGCAATCATTTACGTGAGTAAAGTTGCTGACTGTTAGCATATGTCCTAGACCTTGCCATATTTAATGTTTTTCTTGAAACTTAATCACTGAGGTCAGCTTTTGCTTGAAAAATTAGAAGTACATTTATTCTGCTCAGAGAAAAGCACATCATACATTGACCCAAGCACAACTTTCAAGCTGAGGCAGAACTTTCCTTACAGGCTTAGGCTAAAGGAAAACAATCTCAAAATACTTTGTTTAAAAATAAATCTGGTTTTGATGGGTTTTCAATCATGATGTTTTTGGCATAAAGATGGAGCAAAGGCCATTTTATGCAATATTTGTTTTTGGTAGAAATGTTTTAATTTTCTGCTAATACTGAAAACAGAATGTTTAGTTTTATGTCCAGTTTGATGCAAAATGGAATATTTTTGGGAACAATTCAAAATATTTTCCTGCAGATCACTTCAACATAATAGAGACTTTTATCTTCACTTCTATGAACAGGTTACCTTGTGGGAATTACAGTTTGCAAGACCCTCTTTATAAACCAATTCACTGAGCTGCTATGACATTACAGACACTGTGGTTCAGCCAGGGAAATTAGCCCAGGGCAGCTGAGATGTTTTCAAATCCTTGAGGTGCTCTGGCTACTCCTGTGGAGGAAGGAATACAGTCACAGGAATGTGGAGTTCAATATTTAATATTGTTTGAATATTGCAGTTGAACTGTTCAGGCTTGGGAGCATTTCAGGTCAGTCTGGTAATTAGAAATGAAGGATTTGGAAAATATGCTGATGTTCCTAGATTATAAATTTTTGAGTTTTCTGTTCCGTTAACGTTGGTTTTTTTCTTTGTCTGGTTTTTGACCAAAAAAAAAATAAAATATTAATAATCAGAAGGTAGTGGTAATTTTCTAACTAGAAAATGACAAATTTCAAACTTTCTTATTTTTACAATGCTTACAAAGAATATGAATAAGGTAAATCTGATTTAATGTAAGAATGGAACATTTGTCTCATCTTCACTTCTTCCATAATGCACCCCTCAGTTTTATAAATGGAGGAATGAGCTGAAGTGCCACTAAGACAGAGCCTCAAAAATATTATATGTTATATATTTCCCCTCTTTTGGGGGAAACTTAGAAGGTTTTGATATCTGTGACCAGGTGGCTTGTTGAGAGGCACCAAGGAAATGTGTGGCATGGACAGGAGCTGAAACTACTTCTGCAGCTCAACAATAGCATAATCTTTCCTTCTCATCTAACACTTCACTATGTATCCTATTGTTGGGCCTTGACAGGTTTGTAAAAGTCCTTTTTGAAGGCAAATTTCTTTATCTTGTGCTTCAAGGCACTCAATGGACAATCCTAGGGATGTAGATTAGATCTGTGCCTATTTCAAGCCCAGACTCACCCATCACCTGTACTGTTTGGATACTGACATGTGTTTACATGTGGACTTAACATATTCTGAAGTTTTCATAACGGGAAGAATTTGCCCATGGTGGGTACCAGAATACTGGTTTACTTCTGTTTCCTGTGGCTACAGCATAGCACCTATTTCCAGCAATTCTGCAGACTTGGCTCATCCTACCGCAGTGTTGATGCTATGGGATGTAGCTAGAGCTGTCTTAGGCTTAGTCTTGTGGATGGAGGGCACATGAGTCATAGAATCACAGAACGCTTTGGGTCAGAAGGGACCTTAAAGATCATTTGGTTCCAAACCCCCCAAATGGGCAGCAACACCTTCGCTAGACCAGGCTGCTCTAAGCCTCATTCAACCTGGCCTTGAACACTTCCAGGGATGGAGCATCCACAGCTTCTCTGGGCAACCCATGCCAGCGCCTCACCACCCTCACAATAAAGAATTTCTTTCTAATATCTCATCCAAATTTATCCTCCTTCTGCTTTAAGTCCTTGCATCTACTGTGCCTGAGGCCTCCTCTTGACATTGAAGTTTTGTCCAAAGGAGAGGGTTTGCCTTTCTGAAAAAGGGTGGTTTTATCGATGATGGGGTTTATCAGTCAACTGACACTCTCTTCTCCTTTTTTGAAGTTGTAGGCAAACCTTTCAGTATCATCTCCTTCTTCTGTCACCGCTGGATGTTTGGATGGATAGGCTGCCGCTGGTATGGATGGGCTGGTTTCTTCTTTGGCTGTGGGAGCCTTATTACCATGACAGCTGTCAGCCTGGACAGGTACCTAAAAATCTGCCACTTGTCCTATGGTAAGACAACTCTATATCTATATATGGAGATAACTATATTATCTATGACTACAGAGGAATCATATGAAGTGCTATAGTTTACTACACTGAAATCACATTTAAGCTCTTCAGAATGCTTTTGTAAAATATAGAGGAGAATACATAGATAAGAGAAACACATTTTCATGATCCAAGTAATCCCAGTTAAATTTTTTTTACTGGACATAACATCTTCACTGTTGTCTCTCTGCTGTCTGCTTAAGCCATGAGTTTTCATAATCCATCACAGATAAACCATTTTATGTATCAAGGCTAATTAACATTAGCAGATGCAAGTATTGCACATATTTCAAGATCTTATGGACCAATAAATAGAAATATTCCCTATTAGATGCCTAAATTCCTCTAAGATATGTGGCAAGCTATTTAAAACATCTAAGAGATTTGGATGGGCAATAATTCATAATGTGATATCATAGCTCTAATATGGAGATGGAACCTGAGAGGATGAAATGAATTTAGCAATGAAAGCTGTTACCATCATATCCATCAATATTTGTATGTCCTGAATATGATGTGTGATATGCTTCGTTCTTTCCAGTTAAAAGAAATTGTCACAGTATAGAAAAGATGTTCTTCCTGCTTTGGAAAGGACTAAATTCCCATTAAAATACAGGGAATACTCAAGGTGGCTTTACATATAAGAAACACCTTGCCCATGTGACTTGAGGGGTACACAACAGATTTCTTTATAATGACATAAAATGTCAGTCATGTAAGGTTAAGTTATAAGGAATGTCTACAGGTCGAAAGTGTAAGTAAGCCAGTCTCTGTAACCAGTTAAAGTCTGTGGTACTGTGCTAAGATGTGCTATTGTAGATCCTGTGCTATCATAGATAGCCCATGCTTTTTCCTTAAGTGGGAGTGCAGGGAAGGTCTCCTTAGCAGAGTTCTAGGTACACCATTCACATTAAGTAGGATTTCAGTTCTTGCTATAGAAGTCTTATCAAAATAATTCAGTGGCAACACAAATCACGGACAATTTTCCACAGATTTGGTGAACTGAAGTGAATATTTCATGCCTGGCTGCATTCATGCCACCAGCTCTGGTATTTAGCATTGCGTCTGAGTTCCCTGGGAACAGAACACTTCAAAACCTTTATGCTCAAGGACTCTGATCATGGTTGTCCATACAAAAGGATGGAGACCAATAAACATAATGCTCAGTCTAGGAGGTTAAATTAGACATTATCTGTATAATGACCAAATCAGTCATCAGGAACCTGGTGCACCTGTTTTTTACCTACATCTTCTTTTTTTTTTTGGTACTAGAATGCTGTGGTTTGACAATAGCTGCAAAAATAATGTCACTCTTTTAATACTCATTCTATTGTTGCTTTGTTTTTCCACCCCTGAGCCCAACAAACCACCTTTCTGTCTCTCAGCCATCATACAGGAATACATAATTTGTCAAGCAGTGTTCATTTTCCTTCCAGTGATCTGGAAATGTAAAATCAGCTGTGAAGGGACACTGGTCACATTCAAATTACAGGTGCTTCTTTGCTTTGATCCTGAAATCCAGCAGAAAGCTCCCCAATGTTGGTGTGAAGTGAGTGAAAACTCCTCTGTGAGTCAGGGACTGCAAGCAGGTTGGAGCTTCCAAAGTGAAAGGATCATTACACCATATTTCGAGTTTCTGAAAAAATTACACATTTTTACTTGTTCTATCCAAATCCAAAATGTCGAATACAGGGGATGATGGAAAGCTTGTAAACTGAAGCTTTTTCCACATGGATTAGAGCTGTATGCAAGATGAGCAGAAAGACAATATTCCACACTCCACAGCTCCAGACATGCATTTAATAACATTAGGCTTAATTAAAAAAATGGGCAAGGATACACGAAAACACCTGTTATGGATACTTCTGACAGGACACTCATGGTGATTTTCTATACTGGAAAAGAATGACAAGGTAAAAATATGTCTTGCATATCTCATTCCCTCTGTAAAGCCTTTTTTTAAAGTTACTAGTTTAATAATTTATGGTGAGAACTGTCCTGAGATTGAACTTTAGCCAGGTAATACATGACAGAAAGAACAGGAAGTAATGTAAGTTACAATGTGCAGTTGCTGTGGGTGAGCCTTCATACTGAGTAATGAAAAGCTGAATTAAAGTCTTAGTCCTTCATGTAGGTTGAACCTCTATCTCATCTGATCACACACCATGAATACACTGTTAGAGACCACAAAAGCAATTTCCAAAATTATTGGACAAGATTCTCACAACTGTTGCTGGCCTGGTTGCTTGGATTGTTTTGGTTTGGACTCTTCTCAGTTGTAAATCATCACAACTTAAAGCAAAGATCTAAAATAAAGTTAGGTGGAGTCTTTCATATGAGTGTGCATTTGTCTTCATGAGTGTCATGGTTTGAGCCTCAAAACCAATTTTTCAACCCCCCACAAATCTGCTAAAATGTTGAGAGAAGTTTTCAGACAGGCAACAAACTTAGCATGGGGGAGTTATATCAAAATTTATTACTAACAAAATAAAACCTGTAGAAACTAAGAAGCAAATAAATACACAGTATTAATACAATTTCTACCACCTCTGGGGCCCTCCCATATCAGTCCAGAAGAACCTTCAGGGCAGGAGGGGTCTTCTGCATCCCCACCAGCTGCTCGGCCTCTGCCGAGGGCTCCTCCTGGACTGCGAGGGAACACTTGCTGCACCAGGTCTGCATCGTGAGCTACAGGGAGTCAAAGCTTTTGAGTCCTTTTCCCCTGCTTGGTGAAGGTTCCCCCCAGGAAGTAAGATTTAGGGACTTCTCCACTTCGAACCTGCTTGATTTGGCTTCTCTCTGTCTCAGCTGTAGCATCAGCTGGGCTACCAGGTGGCAGGAGGGGCCATCCCCTGCATTCCTCGTCCTTTGGTTTCTGGCTGCCCTGGTCCAAACCTCAGCAGGGGCACCTCCGAGCTCTCAGTTTGTCTCTCTCTCCAGTCTCAGCTCCAGTCGCCCTCTCCCCCCGCCATGGCAGGGGAGGTGGCAGTGAGACTGCTTGAAGTTTCTCTCTCCTCTGCCTGGAATTTTTTCTGCTCTGCTTCACGATCACTGCTGCTGCTTCCCCCACTCACAGGGGGGAAAACGGTGAGGGAATGTCATAGCTCTGGCCATAGCACCAGGGCTACAGCGTGCCCAGGGGCACCCCCAAACTCGGGGCTCCCCTCGGTTACCTCATGGCTCCAATTCTCTCTGCCAAACAGCTTCTCTTTTGGTCTGTGTAATTTCGCAGGGGCACCCTGATTGGTTCAACACCAAGAACACCACCCCTGGAGTTAACCACTTTCCCACTGCAGGGAAAAAGCCTTTTTCAAACTAAGACAATGAGGCACAACAAGAGCTGGAGGGCCTTGCTCAGGATCACTAATGATACCTGAAAAGAGGCAAGATTAACACTGCAGAGTTGTTGTAAAACAGTTGACCAAACCCGTACTTTATAGAATCACAGAAGAATAGAATGGTTTGGGTTGAAGGGACCTTAAAGACTATCCAGTTCCACCCCCCTGCAGGGACAGCTTCCACTAGACCAGATTGCTCAGAGTTGCATCTAACCTGGCATTGAACACTTCCATGTGACATGGCCTGTTCAATCGTGCCACATACATCTGGGCATGAACTTGTAACTCTGGAATTATCTTGCAGGTACCTGGCTGAAGAGACATCATGCATTTGTCTGTCTGGCAATAATCTGGGCCTATGCCATGTTCTGGGCTACGGTGCCTTTTGCTGGGGTGGGGAGCTACGCCCCTGAGCCATTTGGAACCTCCTGCACTCTGGACTGGTGGCTGGCACAGGCTTCGGTGGCTGGACAGGTTTTTGTTCTCAGTATTCTTTTCTTCTGCCTCCTGCTCCCAACTGCGGTGATTGTGTTTTCCTATGTCAAAATAATTTTGAAAGTCAAATCCTCCACCAAAGAAGTCGCTCACTACGATACCAGGATTCAGAACAGCCATATACTTGAAATGAAGCTGACCAAGGTAGGAGCATTTACCTTGGTTTGATTTGTTGTGTCACAGAAGCAGGTTTGGAGACAATAGGATGATGCCTTGAAGGTGGTTCTTGTAGCTTTCTCCTTTGTTGCTGTCAAGATGGGAAACATAGGAGTGGAAACATAATTCTGTGATTAGAGCACTCAAGTCCCTGAGATCATGGTTCACTCTGAAGCTCTGTCACAGCTTTCCTGTGTGACCTTACAAGTCATATCATCTCCCTGTGTCCTTGTTCCCCACCATAAAGCACCCTTTGCTTTCAGGAACAGTTGTAAAGATTAATTTAAGGTGTTCGAGGTGCACAGAAATTATAACAGGAAACAGATAAGGAACAGATTTTGTAGCAGGGAAATAAAACTTTCAGACACTTTACGTTTCTCTGTTAATGAAGATATAAACTAAAATCAGTCCTGTGACATTGCAATTGTTTTTATGCAAATAATTTATCATTTAAGTTCAGTCCTGTGATAAAAATACACTGAAGTACTAAGATTAATTTTGCATCTTAGACCATATCCTGTTTTTCCTTAAGATTGAATCTATTTTCTCTTTGGCAATGGCAACAGCCATGAGCCTTGATACTGGTTATTGTGCCAGCAAATCTCTCAAAATAAAGACTTGTGTTGAACAAACTGAGATTCCTTAGCTGTAAAAAATTCGCCAGCCTCTGTAAGCCATGCCAAGAGAGAGACAAGCAGCAACTTTTGCTTGGCTGATCAAATTTTATTACATTTTTTTTGTGAGTTAAACTGAAAATTATATAACATAGAACAATAAGGGACAATGTGTCTTAACATATTAGAGAGTCTCAGCCGGTACCTGTACAGCCAGTGCTACCAATACAGCTGGTACAGCTGTACTTGCCTTTCAAAGGGGTGTTTCAATACGGTACTTTTTTGTGGTTATTCAGCAAATTTCCTTTGAAGAACAATGCAAACTTTTGATTTGAGGCTGCAGATTTATTTTTGCCATATTGGAGGGATCGCATAAAACTTCAATGTGATCTGAGTTGAAGCACTAGTAGTTGTCCCTCCTGTCTTGATTCCACAGTGGGGAACATAATGTTGGGGTAAATATAATGAATATAATGGAAATATAATGAATATAATGGAAAATGAGTCTCCCTTATAACCCATTTGACTCCAGAGCACAATCTATAACAAAAAGGCTGTGTTTGAGACCCTTGGCTCACATGCACATCACTTCCTTCAGTGACAGACAACAAAAAAAAGTACAGAAAAGATTATGCAACATCCAAAATCCTTTTGCTTTCTGGTGATTTTTTTTTCCCTAATCCTGCTAATTGCCTTATTCCAAATGAGTGCACTTGTACTACTCCCAGTCTGGATGCAGCAACGGCCTGTCAATGGCAGCAGTATAATGGCAGGTGTTCTTCAGAATGTATTATTGCATGATTATTGCATCATGTATTAAACTATACCAGGCTGTGACTGAGTGCAGACAGGCCGGTTCAGGTAGAGTATATAAATCTCCAATTTTAGCCCCAAACACTTTATTTAACATTTATACTAAACTCTCTTATAGTTACATTTCCTCGTATTATAAGGAAGTCCTTTACTAATTTACTGGGAACATGTTATCAGAACTGAAACATTTGCTGGAAATGTGCTTTTTTAGACTATCTACATATCTTAATGGAGTACAAATCCATGATATGGCTTAGAAGAAAGATAACTAAACATTGTACTAGCATTGTCAGTTTTAATTATATTCTCAATTTTCAGAAGATCTTTTTCGCAGCTCTGATATTATCTGTAAGTTATCCTAAAAAAAAAAAAAGAGATTCTGTGTTTTGAAAGGACTCTCCTCCTTAAATAATTTAAATCCAGTGTCAAATGATTATAATTTTCTGAGATCTCATTAAGTTTCCTCATCTTTAGCCAAACTTTATGGCATTTTTAAAGGTCTGTGATAACAGACTCATTAACTACTCTGTGTCAGGTGAAAGAAAAACAGGCACTAGATAAAGATGTGTGACAGATTTTCTTCATATTGAAAATTTACCTGAAGCAAGTCATCATTTTTCTTTTCCATTCAGTGTCATGTTCCCTTGCATTCTGCCCTGCTCTGTGCCGTGCTTCCAGTGTCTCTCGGTGCTGGATAAACCTCCTCCTCTCTTTTCTCCTCTCACAAGGTGGCAATGTTGATCTGCGCAGGGTTCCTCATTGCCTGGATCCCCTACGCCGTGGTCTCAGTCTGGTCAGCCTTTGGACAGCCGGATTCAGTTCCCATTCAGTTTTCAGTGGTACCAACACTGCTTGCAAAGTCAGCAGCCATGTACAACCCAATTATTTACCAGGTCATAGATTGTAAATTTGCCTGTTGCCGGTCAGGAGAACTGAAAGCGAAGAACTCTTTGAAGAAATCAAGGTAATTTCTTCTTTGAAAAGTAGGATGTCTTTAATTACACAACATTCCAAAAAATACCAAACTAAGATCTACCAAGGATCACAGCTTTATGAAGCTTATTTCTTGTTTTTAACCATGACTTATTTGGGGTATTTCTTGCCATGGGAATTTGTGAAGTGGCTCTAGATGTATAAAGAGAAGCAAGGAGACAGTCCTTACTTTTAGATCCAGCTGCAACTCCATTAATATAGTTTGGAAAAAAGACCCACTGCTTTTAGTGGTTTTGGGATCGAGCCTGTCTTCTTGTTCCTTTTCTTTCGTGTCATCATACGATTTTCCTCCAGAAGGTGTTGATGACCTCTATTGCCACTGAAGTAAATGGAAGAGAATTGTGCTAATTCCTTACATAATTAACCTGTTAATACTATGTCTTTCAGTTACAGAATCAGCAGGGAGAGACAATAGTTCCTTAATCACCCTGTAGGTAACATTCACACCAAAAAACCAAGCCCAAACTCAACAAATCAAAGTATGATAAGGTCTCATAAAAAAGCTCCTTTCTATTTACAACTTTCAGGCAAAATTTATGATGAACACCAGTGGAGTTCCTGAAAACACTAATTATGCACTTGGAGGAAAAGTGCTTATAATTCTGCATTACCCCAGACAAGCACCTTACTTCTGTGTTGAACAATGAGAAAATGATGGGTGTTAATCTGGCAGTGTAGACTGACACAAAGGCCACCAGTGCCATACCACATATAAGTGACTGTGAAACATTAGAATTCCAGTAATTTTCTTATTAAATAAATTTCTTACTTATTAGAGGCATGAAGGACAACTTTATCATTCATATTATTCCCTTATCACTTCCAGCATTTTTTGATGTGTTGCTCAGAATGAGTCAACATCTTGAGCTTCCACAGCTTCTCATAGCAGATCATTCCATAATCTTGCACTCAGATTTACTTTGTCTGCAGAACATAGAGTATAAACATGTTTTAAATGTTTATAGTTTACTAAAAACCCTTCTACAGTTTTAGTCAAGTGAGAGACAAATCCAAAGTAGCCTTCAGTGAATCTTTGGTGGCTGGATTTGTGTTTAACCTCCAAGTTATCCCTCTGAAGGAGGTTTCACCTAGTCCCTGATGCTGAATGCAAGTTGGCTTTCCTAGGCCTGTGCAGTGAACGAAATGATCTTGAGAAACCACTTCCCAGAATGAGGAACTTAATTTCCAGCCTGGTATGAACAAAATGATCATTGCCCCTTCTCCGTCCCACAGGACATACACCATATCTGCACACAGAGACTCGATGGTGGTGAACGAAACCCAGCTGGAAGCATGAAGGCTCATTTCAATATAGAAAATGAAAACCTGATGACAAACAACTCTACTGGCTCAAGCTCCTCTTTCTGTAAATTAATTAAAACATGGTGACAGTTTTGTTTTACTCCCTAGCCCTCAGTACAATGTAGTTCTTTCCATCTTGACCAAAATAGTGGGATTAAAGCTGGGAAAATATTTTGAGTACTCAGAGGAAGAAGAAATAGAGAAATTTTGTTTTTATAAAAAATTTGTATTCACTTCAAATGCTATAAAATGCCTTTTTTTTTTCTTTTTATGACTAACAGAAGTGATAGCTTGGATGATATATACTTTTCCTCATGGGAAGGAAAGTATTCATAAAGACCAGTTTTAGTTTGCCAAAGCTAATCTCCCTAAATTCCTACTGCAGTCACTGGAGAACTGGAGCATGAGAGAAAGGATTCCTTAGGGGACAAATCTGAATCAGAGCTTCGCTTATCAGGGCTCTGAATTACACAGTGGGGACACATTTGCCCTGATTCTTCCTGGTGAGCAACTCTCCAAATAATTTGGCTACCAGCTTTCTTAAACCCACTTTGACTTCATTCCTTCAAGATTCAGAAATATTTTGGTTTTAGTCAAGAAGGTCAGAAGTATTTGTGAGTGGTAACAAAGTCATCGTTCAAGTGCAGCTGCAGAGTAATTTTTAAACATTAAGTGTTGGAAGGATGAGGATTAGTAATGATTTAGGAGAATGACAGTCCCATCAAAACAAAGCTTGTTAAGTTCCCAGTGTACTCAATAGAAAAACAATGTGCCTTGTAAAGATCTGCAGAGTAAAGCAACCAAAATAGTTGAGTTGAATCTGTTTCTGGTTTATATTTGTCTTAACGGAGAGGCATCACTACAGATGAAAAATTAGCAGTCTGATATAAGCACATTTTTTAATGCTTAAAAATAATGATTTTGGTGTTTCTATGTAGTTTCTTTGGGAAGGATACGATTCTATTAAAAATAAGCTAATTGCAAATCAGAGAGTCTCCTACACAGATTCGTGCCGACTGTTAAAAAAAAGAAAGTTACAAGGGTGACACTTTCTTCTGAGTTGTTCCTTTAAGGAAAGAAAGCATTTGTGAAAGAGTTTCAATTGTTTTCTTGTTTAATATTTCCTGTTTAACATTAATTTGTCCTACTGTTATTTCAAAATTATGTTTAACATTCCTTTCCTGCCACACTGAACTGAACTTCTTTTGTCACTGATCCGTGGTGAGGTTAATTTTGTTTATACAATAATATCATAAAGGTTTAATCTGATGATTGTTGGCATGTCCCAGCACTCCCATTTTGCAGTTGCTATTTTCTCGAATGATATTCAGACCATGTAGCAGAAGTAGAATTTTGTTGAATTTCCTAAGCTAGGTAGAGGAAAATTTTCCTTCCTTCTCTGCAATGTTTTAGCAAAAGAAGTTTGAATAAATTCTAAGAGAACTTGCATAGGTATGAGGAGTTGCCACGCTACCTATACAATGTTTTGTGCTAAGTTTTCCCCAGAAGTTGAGTTCTTTCATTTCTGTAGATCTTTCAGCAAAAGATCTTGGCTATGGTTGCAAGTTGTGGCCATGAATTGATCCAGAGAAGAAGGCATCCTTCAAAATATTTGCAGACTTGGTTATGAAGGCATTAACAACCTTCTCTCCATTTTCTTACAGATTTTATTATTTTCTTCATCCAGGCAAACTTCTGTTTGTATCTATAGGTGTTTATCCTAACAAAGGTCTGATGTAACTCATGTGGACTGTGGCCCTATAAATGCAAATTAGCTGGAGCAACACTGCTGGGAAGATTGTAAGAATTATCCACCAGTCAGACCAGATTTCAGGGTAGATCAACTCACAGTTTTTGCATGAACCTGTCCTCTAGTTCAAATTTTGGAATATTTTATCTCTATTTGTTAAAATTATGTACTCTCTTCAGAATTGCTGTTGAGTCATCCCAGAAATAGATACACACTTGTAGTAAGGTTGAATTTTATATTTGTGAAGGCTGTAAAATATTTTTGGATTCCACTATAGAGAATGTTCTAGATACATGTGCTATCCAAAGAGTTCAGAGGTTTAGTAAGCTCTAAATATGAACTTTCAGAATAATGATAAACATGTTTCATATGACTTCAAGATATTTATTTTCATATGATTTAAATATATTTATTTTTTATTTGGTGCCATAATTATTTTCTGTCTGAAAAATCAATTTTACCACTACTGAACAGTATCTTGCTCTGTAGGAAACTCTAGGACTCCAACTTGAGCAGGAGTTAGAGACATGTTTATACCAAGCATGTATTCAAGTGAAAGATGTTTCCCTGAATCAAGCAAGACATGCACACTCTGGCATGCAATACTGTAATTTAAATGCAGAATCCAAACCCAAGAGCAAATGGATCTCATTTGATTCAATGATAAAAAGAGAATTGGAGCACTTTCTTTGTTTACTTCCATATAAAGCAGCTGACACAGTTAGTTTGTGCTCTGTTTGGGATCCCGGTGGTAGAGAATAAGGGTCTTATTATGGATTCAAATTTTCAAGGTCAACTTCGAATTGAATTGAAGGTTGTAGCCTGATGGTTCTAGAGATAATAATTTGCCATTGATGTTCAGGACAGAGTTTTCTCCTCTCTATGCGTTGAGGCTGATAATTGATTATTATATAAAACTGAGGTATGTAACCTTGGTCTGAGGTCATTAAAAGACAGTGACTCTCCCAATTTGCTGTTGAAGAAATCTTCTAAATGTTTTTCAAGTTTCAAACATGCTATTTTGTGATCTGAGCTTTGTCAAAGCACCAACATTATAAAACCTACTCAGTGTGATGAATAAGTAGGGAATACAACTCTGAAGGAAGATTTCTTTATTGCATTTTCAATATTTCAGCCTCCTTATTATATTAAGGAATTTCCACTTTTTATGTATTAACATTAAACTAAGTATTTTTCAATGAAAACAGTGCCATCAAGAATAATAACTATAAATGAGAATCTTTTATTATGTAACTATGTGCACATTCAGACTGAGGTGGCAAGAAGCAAAATTGTATGTGAATTCACTCTCTGTGATGTAAAGGAAGTAATTGACACAGTTTAAGACTCCACTTAGATAATGAGCTGACCTGGACAGTAAGATTGTCCCAGTAAGAGTAAGAGAGTAATGAGAGTAATACTCTGTATTTTGAGGTGACAGTGAAATTATGCAAAGCATGTGGATATGGAAACTTCTAATTTGATAATTTTTGGTCATTGATGAAGAATGACTCTAAACCTTCTTCACACTTGGAAATCTGTTGACCATGAAAAAATATAACAAAGCAAACTTTTATGACAAAAAAAGTTGAAATAAATGAAGTACAAAAAATGTAAGTTATGGTTGTAAGATTTTGGAAGAAAATAGAGAGTATTTGTCCATGCAGGTGAATGCAGTTGTATCAAAATTTATTTCTACACCCATAAAGAAAAATGAAAAAAACCCAACCCAACAAGTGGTTTGTTAAAAATATTTATGGCCCACAGTACAAGACTACTGATAGTAGAAGATTTTTGGCTTTGTGGCATTGAAAGCAAAAGAGAAAATTTATACATTGTCATACAAAGAGAGTATGATTAATGAATTGGCAGGCACAATGCTAGTGAATTAGGTCCCTTGGTGGAACTTTTCTCTTGGCTGACAATATCTTTTGGAGGCTGTCCCATCTCCAGTGTGCAGGGTGATCTTGGTTATGAGAAAAAATATGAATTGCTCTGACCAGGCACTTAGTTCTCCTGCAATTCTATCTTATTCATTTTATGTTTGTGTTTCTACCTCTTATTCCCACCAGGGAATTTTCAGATACATCAACCTGCATTCCTCAGGAAAGCTGCTTTGACATCTTTTTAGCTAATGTTTCCCAGCTCAGAATGTTCCCAGATGAGTCTTGCCCTGAGTAAGAAGCTCTTAACAAATAATGTTCACATAACGCATTTCTCTCCCAAGACAGATGGATGTTTGGTTGTTTTCCTTCACATCTGCATCTTCCCAAGTTTCATAAGTCTTTGTAGTTCTTCAGACTCAAGGGAGAACACATAACCACCTGAAAATAGAACTTCTGGAGAGCTGTTGTTGAGCAACACCATTATCATCACCATGTTTCCATATGATTCTATGTTCTTGAGCCACTGTGCATTCCATACTGACCTTCCTCTCACTTATGGGCTTTTCAGGAGGACTTGTATTCCTTTTGCTTGGTGCACAGTGCATACAGTGATAGAGCTAATTTTGTAACTGCCTGGAAGGATCTTCACTCCCGTGGTTGTGTCTGTTTCACTTTGTAGCTGGTGGAATGGGTCTTGGACCAGCAAGTCAGAACAAAGCCTTTTGGAATACGAGGCTTAGTTACAGGTTTTCATGCTTTCCTTACTTCTGAACTTAAAGGATGCTTCACTAATTACGAATAATGAGCCTTTTTCAGTCACTGACTACAGTTTTGTGTCTCAGTTGAGTAGAGAAGAAAACCTACGTAGTTTGTTAGAAATCTATTCTTTCTTAAATTCAATCCTAAAAGGGGCAGTATCCCAAGGAGGAGACTCCAAGTTAACAATCTCCAATCAGCCACAGTGAGACACAAATTCCAGGCTAATCTTCAAACTAGGCTTGATAACCATTCCACAGATTCTACAGATACCTCTCCTGTAACACTCTGGCACCATATTAAAAACAACATCCAGCAGTCCTCTGAAGAAACCTTAGGGTTCTCCCTCAAGAAGAACAAGCTGGTTCCATGAAAACAATCAAGAGATCCAGGAATTGTTGATGAAGAAGAGAACTGCCTACCAAGCACACCTTGCACTGCCATCCTGTCACGTAAGAAAAACAGCCTTTCACATTACATGCAGCAAGCTCCAACAGAAACTCTGTGACATCCAGAACAAGTGGTGGATCGATCTAGCTGAAAAAACTCAATTATGAGCAGATACAGGTGATCACAGAGGTTTCTGTGAAGCCCTGAAAACAGCATATGGGCCTACATACCAAGCTCAAAGTCCTCTACTCAACGCTGATGGTCAAACACTTCTAACAGATAAAACCTCCATTCTGAATCGATGATCTGAACACTTTCAGACTCTTTTCAGTACCAACCGTGTAGTCCAAGACTCAGCAATTCAGTCCATCACACAACAACCGGTGAAGTATGAATTGGATGCTGCCCCCATTT